TTTGTGTACCCTGGGGACCCTGGCCCTTTCCTCTTTCTCCCTTTGCCTCCTGGCAACCATAAGGTGAGCAGCTCCTCTGCTGCATGCTTCCACGGCCATGATATTACTGCCTCACCACAGACCCAGAAGTGACTGGGCCAACCGTGGACTGAAACCTCTGAACCCATGAGCCAAATTAAATCTCTCCTCCCCTTGATTGTCTCAGGTATTTTATTTCAGCAATGAAAAGCTGACTAACACATTGCCCCACTCTGCTGGGGTGAATCTGTGGATTGATGATGACAGGAAGAAGGGGTACCTTGATAACTGGGTGGTAGTTTATAGTCTAGAGCATTCTTTCCCAAGCACAGGGTGAAGAATGACCTGTTTTGGATCAAGGCACCACTGTGGAAGAAAGGTTTGATTCCAGTGCAGATGCATGGGCCCCAACCCAGAGACTATTTTCACTAGGATTGGGTGAGACTTGTAACCTATTTTCAAAGAATCTTCAACAAGGTAATACTGTGCCCACCAGGGCCTGTCCCTGTGGTGATCCAGAGAGTGGTAAGTGTCCACAAGGGTACCTGCAAGGTTGTCTCAGGTGGCAGCATACATGTAGGTCACCAAACATCACTTAGTCAGTTTGGCACTTGCTCATCTTACATGTCAATGATACATCTGGCTCCATCAGTAGAACTCCTTGCTTCTAATTAGCAGAGTGATATTAAGTTTTCATAGGGAGAAGTTAATAAGGAAAAACATGTTGAAGAGCTCCTTAGAGTAGACGAAAGTAAAAAGTGTTGGCTTTCTGAATAGGACTCCCATAGCTTAGGAAATAAATAGCAAGAATCAACAAATAGGATGGCATCAAATTACAATGCTTCTGCACAGCAAAGGAAATCATTAACATTGTGAAGAAACAGCCCTCAGAATGGGAGAAAATCTTTGCCAGCTACTCTTCCAACAGAGGAATAATATTTGAATGTAAAAAGAACTCAGATTCAACATCAGAAAAACAAATAATCTATTTAATAAATAGGCAAATTAACTAAGCAGATACTTCTTTTAAAAAGTACAAATGGAATTCAATTTATGGAAAAGTGCTCATCTTTTGGCATCAGGGAAATGGAAATCACAACTACAATGAGATTCCATCTAACTCTAGTCAGAACAGCAATCATTAAGACCCCAAATAACAAATGCTAGCAAGGATATGGGGGGGATGACTCATGCACTGTTGATGTGAATGCAAATTAGTACAGCCCCACAGAAATCAATAAGGAATTTCTTCAAAAAACCAAAAATCAAACTACCACATGACCCAGCTCCACCACTCCTCAATATTTATCCAAAAGAATTAAAGTCAGCATATAGTAATAAATATGAATGTCTATGTTTATTATGGCAAAATTCACCATTTCCAAGTTATAGAATTATCCCATGTGTCCATCTACAAGTGACTGGATAAAGAAAATGTGGCACAAATATGCAATGGAGTTGAATTCCTTCATAAAGAAGAACAAAATTGTACCATTTGCAGGAAAATGGATGGATCTGGAGATTATCATGTTATGCAAAATAAGTGACACTCAGACAAGTAACAGAAGGACATCATAAAAGCAAAAGGGTGACTATTAGGTAGAGGAAGGGGTCTAGGAAAAGGAGGAGGGGAAGGCAAGGGGAGGTATTGAGGAGTGCAATTAGGAGTGCAATTAATCAAGTTATGTTATATAAGTGTATGAATAAGCCACAGTGGAATCCACTATTCTGTACAATTATTATGCAACAATTAAAAAAAAAACGAAAAAAGTGTTGAGAAACATTGGTTTATGCAAGAATGTCTGTATTTCTGCTGAGAAGTTAAAATTATGCCAGGTCAACCACACCCTTTCATTCTGCCTCTCTGTGCCCATGGACAATGGGGCCAAAGATAAGATCTGAATTTACATGTTAGAGTTTCTCCAGCCATTAACTGTGAATGGTCATATTTGCCCTGACTTGTACAGTTAGGATGAGATCTCTCTTTTAATCCCATGGCTCTAGTCATTTGTTCCACTCGTTTGTCACTTAGCACTTAGCATTAGTGACCTGACATCTTTTGTATGTGTCTGTTTTGTCTTCATAACTAGATTAGAAAGTCTTTTATGGTAGAGACCTTGTGTTCACCTGATAGTGCACTAATTTACTCACGCGTCTATCAGACAGGCATTGAGCACTGCCAGGCACAGGGATAGATTAAATTAAAAAAAAATAGTAAGATATAGTCTCTGACTTTAAACATTTCTAGCAAACAAACCATGGCTTGGAAAATATAATGACTGAGATGTGTTTATTTTGTACAGAAAAGTACCCTGCCCAGCGGAGAGGAGGCCATCTTTAACTGAGGCTCAAAGGAAAAATGAGGAAGAGTAAGTTTTCCAGGTAGAGAATGGATGGGGAACAGGAAGACCATTCCAGGCTGAACTAGAGCTTCTGCTACATGTAGAGAGGGGCTGGAATGAGACCAGGCCTAAGCACAAAACTAAGGGCACGAATCTTGCCTCTGAGGCAGTGGGATTCCACTGGAGAATTGAAATTAGCCAGTGGAATGATTAGCTCCCTTGTCCCAAAGCTCACCTGGCTGCAGTAGGGTGGGAATAGAGGAGGATGGGAGACCTTTCAGTAGGGCTGAATTGCTGATGCCTGAGCAAGGAAAGCGGGTAGGAGTGGAGGGAACCCCTGGAAGATCTGCTGGGGAAGGAGAATCCAGAGAACTTATTGATTTAAAGGTCATGAGGGCAAGTGAAAAATCAGTATCCCACTGTGAGGGGAGATTTGTCACTATCTATTCAAACAAACAAAAACAGAATAGTTTATGCTGCAGTTTGGATCTGGAGTGTCCCCCAAGGCCTCTGTGTTAAAGGCTTAGTCCCCAGCCTGTGGCACTATTGGGAGTTGGTGGGACTCCGGTATTTGTTATAGTGATGAGAGCTAACACAGTCCATGACCTGGAAATGTCACTTATGGCTGTCTACCCTAAGAAGAAAATTCATGCACCAATGTTCCTTAAGAAGAAAAAGACTAATATGTCTATCAATAAGGATCTGGATAAAGAAAACAATTTAAATAAAAAACACCTCTATGTAACAAAATAATTCTTTCTCCAACACATTATATGACTGACAGAGAAAAAAGAAAAGCTTGTCATAGAATAGTACATATAATAGGAGTTGATGATCTAGATAAAATTTTAGCTGGGCAAGGTGGTGCATGCCTGTAATCCCCCTGGCTCTGGAGGCCGAGGCAGGAGGATGGTGAGTTCAAAGCCAGCCTCAGCAACTCAGTGAGGCCCTAAGCAACTCAGCGAGACCCTGTCTCTAAATAAAACATTCAAAAGGGCTGGGGATGTGGCTCAACAGTTAAGTATCTGTGAGTTCAATCTCTGGTACAGAAAAATAAAAATAAAAATCACTTTAGCATTTGAGGAAGCCCCTCTACAGTTATCTTCCAAACTCTTCACCTTAAAGTAGACTTGTTAGATATTGAGTCTCACTCACCCACATAGTGCTACTTAGTAGTTCTCTTATTTCTTTATTTAAAATTTTAATATTGAGTGTGTAATAGCATTTATAGGACACATATAAGTTGTGACACAATACTCCTATGTACACCACTAACTCCAAGACCAGAAAAACATTCTCATTATTTTCAATGTTTTTTGTGTCCCTCTCAAGTCTTTCTTATTCTTCCCCTCTCAGAAGTAACCGTTCTCCTGAATTTTGATTAGAGTTCCACACTTTTTGTTATTTAGTTTTGGGTGTTTTTGAACTTTATATATAGGATCATACAGAAAATATGAAAGAAAGGCAAAAGCATATCTAAAAGGAGATAATGTTTTTCTTGGCAGATGATGTGACTATATAAAGTTATTTGAAAATTAGAACAATATGACAACCTGACAAAATGATTAATATGAAGATCAATACAAAATTATAGGTTCTTATATCAATAATAATTATAAAATAAAATAGATCTATCTACAGCAGCAAAAATAAAAACATAGTTTACCAACAAAAATGGAAATATGTAAGATCTATGTGAAACAAAATTTGAGATATCCCCTATACTTGGTTGGCTGTCATGAAACAGAATATGACCATTACATTCTAAATAAATGCAAATTTCAAAAGAGAAATATTTGAAAACGAATTCACAATAAGTTACTAGCTTAATGAGCTTTCTTTCTCACCAACTTTCTTAACATTTTGTTCTGTGCATCTGAAAATTTAGATGTCCCCAGTGGTGTCTGACGTGTAGGACACGTTGTCTCCAGAAGAATCACTTTCAGGTGCTTACTGAAATGCTCATTGCAGAACACCACCCTCAGAAATTCTGAGTAAGAGTTCTGAGTAGAACCCATCCACCTGCATTTTAACTTGGAAAAACATTGCTTTAATCCAAAGGAAGGAATCTCAGATGGTAGCATCCAAGTTCTCTCTGGAGATCAGCAAAGAGACATTCTTAGGAATGAACATTTTTCTGGCAATCTTGAGATTACATCAGGATAATTGGGCACTCCATAGGTTCATGTGTGGCTCTTACAAAGGTCTATATCTAGAGGACTGCATGTGGACATCATGTTTGTACAAGGTTATATGGTAAAGAATCTTTTATTCTTCCCACAGTTTTTTATTGGTGCATTATAGTTGTAGATACTGCTGGGATTTTCTGTTACCCATTCATACGTGCACAGAATACATAATCTAACAACAACATGTAAGGAATCTTAAGGACTGTGCCCTACATTTTCTGTTTGCTATGCTTTCTTTGGGTTTCTTCCTTATGTCCTGTGAATTTGGAGGTGCTGTGATCAGAATTTTGTGTTCCCCAAAATTCATTTATTGAAATCCTTACCCCCAGATATGGTATTGGGAAGTAGGACCTTTAGGGGATTATTAGGTCACGAGGGCAGAACCCCCTTGAATGGTATTAGTGCCCTCATAAAAGATCCCAGTGAACAGCTTGTCTCTCCTACAGTGTGAGGACACAGCAAGAAAGAGCCATCCGTGGGGGAGCAGGTCCTCACCAGCCACCAAATCTGCTGGCATCTTGATCTTGGACTTCCAGCCTCCAGAAATGTGAGAAATAAACTTCTGTTGTTTATAAGCGACACGGTTTGTGGTATTTTGATACTGGTATCATTGATAGTATTTATTATTTTGTAGCCTGAACAGACTTAAGAGGAGAGGAGTAAGGAAGGTGGCCCTGGGATCAAGGACAGCGGGTGGAGAGGAAGGAGGGCCCTTCTGCAGAGGATTTGACCATGCAGAGGCCCAGGCTTTGTGCTGGAGGACGTGCTCATTTCATTGTCAACGGTTAGGTGGCTCTCAGTGAACCACAGCAGAAGGCCAGGACGGAAACCAAGACACCCACCCCAACAGTTAGGCCCTCCTCCACAACCACTTCCCTTCTGTGTGTGGATGTGGTGGGCTGGGTGGGCAATATAAGCTTCACCTGGCTCCCTCCACACTCCAGGGCCCCGAGAGAAAGGCCATCCCTGAACATTTGGCTTCTGCCTCTGGGCTCACCCGCCTTCAGTTCCATGGGAGGCTTTGAGGGTCATCTGTACGCAGGGCTGTCTCTGTTCCTCTATGGACTTTACCAGGCGCAGCTCGTCTCTAGGGCCTTGATCTGCAACTCCCGTGTCCAATATCCACCATGTCGTCCTTGGGACAAAGGAAGATGGGCAAAGCTACGGCAGATATATTACATTGGCCCGATGAAGATCCTAAGTGCCTTCATTTTAGTAGCCCAAGAGTTGAACAGCGTTCATGGACAGCTGGTTCTTATCAGCAAGATGTATCACCAGAGAGACTTTATGTACCGCAAACAGTGGCAGCATCTCACTCTCTATTTGACCTTCTTCCTGACGGGGTGTGCAGATATGGTGAGCCAGAACCTGATGCCCCAGAGGTGTGTGGCTCTGGAGCAAGGCACCCAAGCCCTGGGCATATTTCTGTTTCTGCCCCTGATGGTGTCTCACATGCAGGACACAGAAGGAGTAGAACTGCAGTTTCACATCCTGCTCACCCAGGCCATGTTCCTGCTAACGGTGGTAGTGACTGCAGAGCTCTGGGCTCCCAATGCCATGCTGATATGGACAATGAAGGCCTTTTTGTACATGATCACAGGCTCTTGGTTGGTACAGATAGGCTTTATGTTGTTCAAGCCAGTCTCTGGCTATAAATGGATGGATGATGACAAAAATGACATAATGTTTGCCACCACTTTCTTCTGCTGGCATGTGGTCTTCAATGCCAGTTTGATGATCTGGATCTATGGCTTCTCTTTTTTGTGGTATTGCTACATTCTTATTAAAGACAGAACCTGGATGCGCCCCCTGGTGGTGCCCTGTGGCCTTCACACTCCAAGATGTCTGGATGAGAAGTTGTGAGAGGTGGGCGGCCAGGAAAGCAGAATCTGGTGTCCTTCCTTCATGGGGGTCCTACCTTGAAGCCGCAGACTCTGCTGGAATGGACGTGCACCCTCTCCCTTCTGGCTTCCCTCAGCCTTATTTGAACAGTGCATAGAGGAAAGGTGAACGGAATAAGAGTCCTGCCACTAAGACCTCCCCTCTCAACTCCCCAAGCGTTTCCCTCCTCAGCTCCTGCTGCGGTACCTGCTTGCCCTGCACCTCTCTGTATCGCCCACTCCCCTCCCATGAGAACATTAAAGAAATTTTCTATGTCCTGCTTGTGAAACTTTTTACAAATATCCCTCACTCCACCACATGGAATATCCACCACAGTCAAATTTAGTACATAATAATAATTTACCCAACATAATAACCATAATAACCCCACGTCCATTCTTTCTGGTTCTGGATCTCTTTCATGATGATACTATGAAATCATGTTTTGACTAAATAGAATTCAGAACTCTTTTTGAGTTCTTTATTTTGATTACTTTGTGATTTATCAAGCAGAAAGTCAGACCCTTTTGCAGCTTCTTGCTCAGTGAGATCTAGAAGAACAGAGCAGCACCCTACTCACAGAGAGGGCTCCAAGGGCTCGACTGCCTCCAGGGGTTCTCCCCCGCACTGCCTCCTCTAGTACTGTCAGACTCTCCCTCCAGGCATGTCACCCACTGCTCTGCACACTTGGGAATCAAGTTCCAAGTAGTAGATTTGCCAGGACCCACTCTTTTGTGATTCTCCTATATAATAAAATCCAATGGCTTATTTCTTCTTGATGCTTTTTTTTTTATCCTCACAACTCTCGTGTCAGTGAAGTTTGTAGGTGAATATTATCTAAAACTCAAAAGGGTTAAGAAAGTAGCTTAAGGAGGCTAGACATTTTTCTGTGTCACACAATGCCATTGCTGGGTGTCGGAGGCTGGAATTGTGAAGGGTAGAGCCAAAATTATTGGGAACCATAGGCTATCAAGACTTTATCAAGTTTTCCTCACTCGTGGTTAAGTCTAAATCATCTGGTCAGGACAAAGTGGGGCTGGGTCAGGGATTCCAGAGCATTCACCATCCTTCCCATTTCCTTTGTTGTTCTGGTTCCTGGGAGAACTAGATGTGTCCTTTGGTTCTGGTCCTACACTTCCTTGTTAATTTTCTTGTTCAAAAATCAGGGTGCAAAAGGAGTGAGTTGTTGGGAAGGACCTTCACCCTGTGGTTTCGGGGGCTGTGAACAGCCTGTAATTGTGGAGGGGGAAGGAATCTGGGATCTTTAGATAAGACTCAGCCAGGTCTTAGCATGTGCTGGACATGTGGCATGTGACCAGCTCCGTGGATGGTTCATACCTGCATCAGTGGGATCATCCGGCAACCACATTCCTGTCCAGTGGAGACTAACAGAGGACCCAGGTGTGGAAATAGAACATAAGTTAGCTTCTATGCTTCCCCCTCATCCTAGGAACCAATGGGGCTCTGCCCTCTTCCTGGTTGTCACCTCTGGTTCCCATACCTTGTTCCCCCGCACCTTGGACATCCTCCGAGGCCTTGGCCCAGCCTCATAGCTCCCTTTCTCTGGCCTGCTTGATCCTCCTCTGGTGCCTTGAAACTGGGGTGACAGGAGATCTGCTTGTCCTCTATTCTTTCTTTCTTACTGAAATGACAAAAACTATTTTCTTCTCCACTCAGGGGTCTCTCCCTCCCCCTCCCTCCCCCCACCCCCCTCTCTCTCTCATCTTAAGAGCATATTTTGGATTTTTTTAAACTTTAAAAAATTGACTCTTGCTATTACAACCCAACCTCTTCATGAAGTGAAATCTCTGACTAAACAGGAGAAAAGCCGCGTACAAGGGATGAGAAGCCAGGACATAATGTTAGTATTTCAAGATTTTATCTCCCTGCAAAGATGACAGTTGAAGGGATACAGAAGCTGCAGAACTGTCCCATTTTTAGTGCTTTTGAAGTTCTTTTAAATAACTGATGAATTCATCGCTTGTAGAAAATTGATTCCCCCAAATATTATTATGTCTCAAATCACATACCTTCAGGGAAAAATGCTAAATATTAGCAGTATCAGCAGGGGTCTCAAAGCCACAAAGAACCATAGCCAACATCTGATACAGTGGCAGAATAGGTGGGCCTACTGTTCTGACGATAAGGGTTTTTCTGTGTGCTTTGTGTTAATTAGGTATGAGCACTTGGAAATTATTCCTAAACACTTGAGAAAGAAAAACCAGCTGAAGATTAACTTGGGGAAAAACAAAAATCAAAGTCTCCAAATTAGAGTAGTTTTTGGAGAGAAAGATGTAGTCTTTCCCACCATCCACCAGAGGGAGTTATTTCCACATGAGACTGGAAGGGGCACTTCATCTCCATTTGGTATTGAATTATATCAATTTAAGGGAAGTGATGGAGGGATGAGGAGGAAAGCAGGAAAAGCACATAAGCAATCAGTAAACATCACCTGCATCTGTTTCCTATTAAGCTCAAATGTGTAGACATGAATAAGCACAGAATTTAATCTATGAGATAGAAGTGTGTGTGTGTGTGTGTGTGTGTGTGTGTGTATGTGTGAAAACCTTTGGGTCACTCACTCTCTGACTACCCTTTCTATTTGATATTTTAAAAATCATTGTGTGACTTTCAAGAAGAACTGTCTCCTACTGTGGATGCCACAGGGAGTATGATAGTCCCCCTCCTGGCCCTGGTAGTAAGGGCCAGCAACCAGACCCTCCACGCAGAACTTTTCATCTTGAGGAGGAAAATGGGATGCTTAGTAGCTCTATAAAGGTAAGTATTTTTGACTGGTTTACTCACGGACACATCCAAAACATCTAGAAAATTTTCTGTCATACAGGGAAGTGCTCAATAAATAGAGAATTAATTAACAAATAGGAAACTGAAAGAAGCCATTGTGACAGTGAATCAGGTCCAGTATCTATTTTGCAGTTGTGAGTCAAGACCCTAGAAGCTCTCAAAAAGAAAGCATGTTTACCATGAGGAAGAAAAGTCATATTTTTGTGTTATTGTTAGTCTCCTAATATTTGCCAAAGAGATCTGCTACCATTTTCAAAGTAACTCCTGGAGTAAGAAGACCCTCAGCATTTTGGGAAATCATTTCAACCTGAATCTGATACACCCAGTAAATCTCACAGCTGAGATGTGAAGTCAGGTCTATCTAATTTTAAAAACATTGTTTCCCATGTTTTCCTGATAACAATAATTATCTGGGGTACTTGTGAAACACATAGACAGACGCCTGAGCTCAACCCTAGTCCTTCCAACAGAATTTCCAGGGGAAGGACCTGGTAATTTATGTTTTTAACAAGTGCCCCCATAATTCTTATTATCACACAAATTTGGGAGACTTCTGGTACTCTTCTTTTGGGAACTAGAAGGTCCTAAAAAGGTCACGGGGACATGCAATCATTATGTACTTCAAGCCTCTTCTCATCCTGACCATTGTTGGTGTGACCATCATTTGGTTGTTAATGTCTCCAACAGTCAGCCTTTTTGAGCTGTAGGGAAGGTGGTGGGCAGCACTTAGGGCTAGAGAGTAGCTTCACACAGCTTAATTGAAGACCAGCCTGAGAGCACAACACCTCACAGAATACGAGTACATATCGCTACTGTGTGTGCGCCATTAATTTTGGAAGAGACCACAACTCTTATTTCTTTTGCTGAGGTTGTGAGAGCCTTTTCCAAGAGGAGATGGTATTCCAAGAAATAAGCTGATATTAAGAACCACCAGAGCTTTACTCTGAACTCCCTCAAGATCTTTGTGTTACAATGACTAATGGATAAGGTGATAATAGATTGAAGAAATACAGTAGACTATGAGCCCATCTGCAACAAGTAAAACATCAAGAAGAATCTCTTCTCATTTTTGAAATAACTTAACAGTATCTGGTCTTTATATATACTAAAGAAAATATAACTTTTCAAATGTAAGTAACGTTTTATTGGCAATTCATTATTAACATTCCTTTCAACTTCCAAAATCTTATTCAACCCTCCCCCCGCCCCCATGGAACAAGGATTTAAACATTATATAAGCTTCCCAACAATTCTAGAACTTTAGAGTTCTTTAAGTCCTCTCATAAGTATAACATTGAACAACTCCATTCTCTAAAGTTTGGGAGAAGAAAAAAGTTTCTGCCTAAATTATTAGGGTTTATAGGGCTGATGGTCTTTCACTTTTATCAGAAGAGGACCAGAGAAACAAAGAATGGATGAAAAGATCAAGCATCTGCCTCAAAACCTTTTAGAGACAAGGAAGGTCAAGTCCTTTGAAAGTTGTCTTAAGGGTTCAGAACATCCAGGAGACATTCCTTATTACAATTACCTCTAGTATAACAGTTTATAGGTCCGTGGGAACTGAAGTGAGTCATGCAAAAATATCACCATAAGGTAGGAAAGGATGGAGTACTGAAGAGGGCTTGGACACACTTAGAAAGAACCTGTCAATGCACACAAAAGAGCATGGACCAAGTCCAGGATGATTCTGGTACATTCAAAGGAATCCGGAAAATCAAGTAAGAAAAAAACTTGCCTTCAGATGGTGGTCTCCATCAGATATAAGTAGGCCCCCGCCAATGGAATCTGGAACTCCTCAGAAGTGTCACTGTGTGTTCACAAGGGGTGGGTTGCTGTTGACTACAGGCTAATTCTGTTTCTAACCAATCACAGTGGCAGGAAAAGCAAGGCAACATGAGCAACACTGGTGAGTGTCTGAGAGAGATGTCTCCAAGACTGTAAGCCCTCGAGGCAAACCACTTGCCTTTCCAGTTCATTGGAGTGCATCTTTGTTTTCCTCCTCTTTCTCTCCTGCCCCTTCCTACTTCTGCTACTAGATGTTAAGGATAGGACAGGGCCTTGTTCATGAGACAACTAAGCCTAGAGGAGAGAGTCAAGTATAGCTTGGCCCTCCATGTACCTTACCTCCTCCAGGGAGACAGATTGCATGGGGTTGGGATCATCCAGTGATTTCTTGTGCCAAGTCAATATTATGATTTGGAATGAACACAAAGCCCTTCTCCAATTATTAGGAAGTCTGAATCCAGAGCAGAAGAAAATGGCAAAAAAGGAATGAAGAAAATGGGAAGGCAAATGTGGGCAGCCTTGTTCCCTTACCTCGTTAAGACTACTTTGTGAGTCGTGAGCCCTACCATCAAAGCCTCCGTGGAATCCAGAAGTGAGTGTAGATAAGGAAAACCATCCATTGAGAAATTTCTGCCAAACCCCACTGTTCTGCTTGCAGACAGTCTCAATAACCTACTTATTCAGGAA